ATCTTCTTTCAAACCGAAGATATTAGCAAAATTATAATAAATACCAAAAAATAAGCCCTTAATTACTTTGTTTTGACAACACGGTATCAGTAGCCTTCTTAATTATGCCCAATTTAACAAAAAAATAAGATAGAAACAGTTAGTTTATTTTAAAATCGAAATACCAGAATAATAATAAGATCTAATAATTAAGATATTAATAACAGTGAACAAGAAACTATGATTCAGTGAAGTCATAGCAGGCTTTGGAAAAAAGTTGCTTTTGATGTAATCGTATAAACGTCAAATTGTTATTAGATCAACATTTTGATAGTTTTATCAGCGTTTTTTTATCTTTTAATTGCTTTCAAAATGCCTTTATTATTTGAAATAGTTGAAATTGTTGGCATTTTGAAAAAGCAATCAAAGATAAAAAACGCTGATAAGACTATCAAAATGTTGATGTAATAAAAATTTGACGTTTATACTATTACGCGAAAAGCAACTTTTTTCCAAAGCCTACCATGACTTCACCGAATCATCATTTACTTGTTCACTGTTACTATTGTCTTAATTATTAGATCTAGTATTATGGTATTCTGGTATTTCGTCGATTTTAAAATAAACTAACTGTTTCCATCTTATTTTTTTGTAAGAATGGGCATTAATCAAGAGGGCTACTGATACCGTGTTGTAAAAATAAGGTAATTAAGGGTTTATTTTTTGGTATTTATTATAATTTTGCTAATATCTTCGGTTTGAAAGAAGATATCAAGATGCGGCTTTAGCTGACTTTTTAAGCTTTTACTACTCTTTACTATCAGCTAAAATTACATATACTATTATATTTAATATTTTTGAAAAAAGGTGCATTTTTGTTAAATTGTAAGACAACGCCCCCTAGCGTCTACGTTCAAAAGCTTATTATTATTGTTATAAGAAACGCTCTTTTAAACGAGCCTTCGCTTGTTGGATTCCGATGATCCAGTCCAGAGTTATTCATATTTAAATAAAAACAGATTTAACCTTCCCCCACCACTTTATTTTAGCAGATAGGGGAAAATGGCTCTAACAAAAAATATTCAAAATTTACTGAAAATTATGAAGCTATTACTTATAGTACACCTTATCTAGGCAAAATTGTGTAAAAACTCCATTTTCTTATTTTTTGTTGCAGTTGCGCCCCCTAGCGGTCGTTCTACAAACTTGTAACTAATTTCTAGAAATTTCTCATAGCCTCTTTAGTTACATATTTTTTTCCGCAGCCCCTACGGCTTATACTTTCCGAGATACAGCCGAGAGCTATTCTTAGTAGGACACCCTGCACATCAGAGCTGCAACAAGTCAGTTTTAAAAAGTAATTTCTAAAATCAACATGATTAACATAAAATTCAACATAAAGTTCAAATAATTTAAGTCTTAACCCTTTGACTTTCATTTTATTTCTAGTCAAGTCGTTTTTGTAAAGACTTAAATCAATATAATGTTATTTAAATCGTTTTTATGATTTAAGTCTAAACTATTGATTTAATTCATAATGATCTGTAAGTTAAGTCAGTAAAATTACTTAAATCAATATAATTACCCTCAAGTCAAGACAATCAGAATTCAATTTAACTACCTTTTTTAAATGTTAGTATTAGTTTTCTTGTATTACCAATTAGCGATTTTCTTATTAAATACCATATTATTAATTTATTGTAGGTACAGATGAGAATAAAACCACTTAAAACAAAACGATTTATTTTCAGAATAACTAATATAATCAACAATAAAAGAAACATAAAAGAATAAGGAACATAAAAACACAACTTAATATACAGGGTGTCCCAGAAATAAGTGCAAATATTTTAACTGGTAGTATAGTTCAACCCCAGAAACACGCCTATGAGGTTCTTTTCGCGAAAAAAAAAATTTGAAAATTCGATTTTTTTTTAAAAAAATTTTGGAAACTTTTTTAGTTTTTAGTTAAAAAACATAATTTCTTGATAATATGACAACATAGGTATTAGATTAAATTTACAAGAAAGAAAATTCAGAAAAGATCCAGTGGTTCCCAAAATTTTAGCAAAAATCATTTTTTTGGAAATTTTCAAAGTAAAATAACTCTGTTATTTTGGACTTATTTGAAAAACGATAAAGAGAAAATATGTTTCTTTTATCGAGATCTACCACCCCTTAAAATATTTGCACTTATTTCTTTGACACCCTGTATATTAAATTAAATTTTGTGGTACTTTGTACAGGATGACCCATTTTTGCATGTTTTACAGGGTTTCTTGTTTATGAACAGAAGTACAAAGATGCGGTTTTGTCACATTACAATGCTACTTTTTTATGAAACTAAAAATGGTACACACATCGGTGAAGGAAAACAAAACAAAAATATTTAAGTGTGTGGAGGATGTTTGAAGATCATAATTATTGAAACACTTTAACCGACTCTGTGACTCGTTACCCAAGGCAAAAAAGTTAAACGCAAACAACTTAATTGATAAATGTATTGTTTCTACTTTGAAAAATACTAATGGGCCTTAAAATTAAAGAAGTTTTAAAAATTTTCTTGAATATTTTGAATTTTCTTTTTTAGTAAAATGAGAATAACTTATTCGCAGTCGAAAAAATTGTTTCCGCGTGTTTTTAGGGTCAAATATTTCAAGTTAATGTATTCAAAAAGCAGGAATTGCTATTTTAGGAACGATACATTTTCTTATTTAACAACATGGCGGCTTTCACTTTGTTGTTTTGGAGATTAAGATGGAGTAGTTCGAGTAGTCGCATACTGGACTAATAAAGTCGCAGTTCGGCTTAACAGGCCCTTACTAGTCGCAAGATTGCCTAATTTAGTCATCCTAGAGTCTAGCTTGTGCCGCCCTCTATAATCTAAATAAACGAGGGAGTGGATAAACTATCGGTAATATATGTCGATGTATATTTAAATTTAGTTTTATATGTACCTTTCTTATGTCCCATTTTAATTAAGTTTTTTTTATAAAAACAAAACAGCACTGAACTGTCTGACTGAACAGAACAATGAAGTGAAAATTTAAGATTTAAGGTTATGGTTCAATACAGTTGCAAAAGGTAGTGACTCGACGTCCTACCAACGTAAGAATAAGGAAATCTAAACAACGTTGGAATTAGTAAAACAGACGACGTTTGCATAACGTTGGAATAGGTCCTGAAACTGACGTCGGAAAACTCTATATTGTCCAACGTTGTAACTACGTTGTCCGAATCACCTAAAGATCACTTAAGCAATAAAGGTTACAAGACAACGTTTATTCGACGTCGCAGAAGCTTCTACTTTGCTGTAGTACTAGTCCAACGTCGGCACAACGTTATAAAAACGTTTAAATTTATTTTAATACCCAAGGTAGGGAGCTAACTATTTTTTGTAACTAATCCAACGTTGTGTTTAGTAAACATGTGGTCGCAAGTCGTGAAAATGCTACTTGGGATATTTGTCCTAACCCTCTTAGTTCAAGACATACTGGGCGAAATTGGAATTGTTGTATTTTTCGACTCCATTTCACAAAATGTCTCGACCATTATAACTTATCGAAAAGGTGAAAATCGAGATCCATAGAGATTTCCAAGTAAAATTCAGTGGCGCAACCGAAGGCGCAACTAAAACCAAGATACGAAGGGGGTCGAAAAATCCAACATTTAAAATTTGCCTTGTATTTCAAGAACTAAGAAGACTAGGTGTGTACTATACTTTGTGTGTGGAAAATAAATGCTGCTGTTAAAAATGCATCATAAAAATATATAAAAATCTGACGTAAGCCTTTTATAAAACTTTAAGCCTTAAATCTTTTTGATGACTTAAGTCTTTTATAAAAAGACTTAAATCACAAATCCCTCTGAAAAAGAGTTAAATCTTAAGTCTTAAGTCAGTTTTCGAAAAATGGCTTAAAATCAAATGACTGAAGTCATTAAAATGATTTAAATGAAAAAAAGACTTAAGTTTTCTGTGAGCTTGCAGCTCTGTTGTACCTACGACATTACCTTAGTTTTTGCTTGTTTATAAAAATATAAAAATTATAATAAACTTATAAAGTTTGTTCATTCTCACAAAGTGGTGGCAAATGGTAAAAACTTAATGTTAAAATGGAAAACAAAAAACAAAATTTTGATAGTGGTTTGGACTTTGTTTTCCATTTTAACATTCTTCTTCTTCTTAAAGTGCCTTCTCCATTCAGTGAAGATCGGCAACGACCATGGCAAATTCCCCTCTATTTTTCGCTCTTCTCAGCAAAGTATGTGACTCCAGGCCTGTCCAATCTCTGATGTTCTTCAGCCAGGAGCATTGCCGTCGTCCGGGTCCGCGCTTTCCCTCAATTTTACCCTCGATGATGAGCTGAAGGAATTCATACTTGCTATGTCTCATGATATGGCCCAAATAGGCTGCTTTCCTCTTTTTTATTATGTCGAGGAGTTCTCGGTCCTTGTCCATTGGGTTTAGAACTCGTTCATTCGAGACACGGTCAGTCCATGGTATTCTCAGCATTCTGCGATATACCCACAACTGAAATGCTTCTGAACTCATTGCGCTTACTTTGAGTGTCCACGACTCAACCCCGTAGAGAAGTGTGGAAAGTACGTAGCACTTGACGAAGTTGTGTTTTATATGGATGTTGAGAGGTTTATCGCACAGTAGGTTCCGCAATTTTAGGAAGTTTGATCTAGCCATCTCAATTCGAGCTCTGATCTCAATATCTGGGTTTAGGTCTTCACTAATCCATTTTCCACAATTTTAACATTAAGTTCACAATTCCACAATTTTAACATTAAGTTTTTATAATAAACTTGTTAATAAATACACCTATATCTAAATAAATTTGATCGTGTAGACTCTATATTAGTTCTTTAATGTCGACATATGTCTGTAATTATTATTTTTTTCCATTCTAGTATTATTTTCATCAATAATCACATTTCATTTATAAACTATTTCATCATCAAATAAAAATGTTATGTAGACACATATGAATTTAATTAAATCGTATCCTTTTTAGGGAACAAAAGTACTCCTATGTGTGGTACAGAACAATATGAGTGTTTGAAATTGGTAGAAGGTAAAGTTAATATACAGATTATCATATAAATATACGTAATGAATTTAGTAACGCATGCATCGACCTTGTCAGTTAACGTCCCAAATATATGCACTTATTAACTACATAAAACATCAGCAGTAATTTGAAGCGTGATGTTATTTCAATTTACGATCTTGGCTGTTGAAATTTAGTCTTAATCCAAATTTTTTTCATAGTGTTTAAGAGGACTTAATAAACTCTAAGAAAATATTTTAACATAACAAACTAACTAGTAAGATATTTTCATTGTTTTATAGAAAGGCAGGCATTAGTTTTCATGGAGTCCAATTTAGCTAAACATAAATTAATGAACAAACATTTCCATAAGCATTTTGGGGGTAAAAAGAACATGTCCAGTAAATATTCCTGCAATTGCCCGTCAATGTGTAATACCATAGACTACAACGTGGAAATTACTGAAAGCGATTATGATTGGCCTAGGAAAATGGCAGCTATTGGAATTGATGTTGTTACCGAAGATGAAGAAGGGTAAGATGAATAACATCTAAAATAAATGCTATAATAAAAATTATAAATTATAGGAGTAAAAGATTGTTCCCATAAATTTTGAAAGCAGTAATATTTGCTATACTTGAATTCTTAATAATTATATACTTAATAAAAATATTTTTTTATACTTGAACATTGCTAGCAAGACGCAAGGTTAGGTTACTCCAAAATGACTGCAAAACATAAACCCCACTGGTGCTCTTATACAGGGTGTCCCAGAAATAAGTGCAAGTATTTTAACTGGTAGTATAGTTCATAGTAGACACCAGAAAAAAACCGATGAGGTTTTCTTTTGTATATCCACCCTAAGGACGCAAAGGCGCACATAAGGTTGCCTGTAAAAGTAAAAGGGTCACAGTGTAAGCCATACTGTATAGTACTAGGATAGACATTATAAGTAAAATCTAGTGGCGGTCTGTATCTAGGGTTGCCAACCGTACTCACAAACCGTATTCTAGAGAACAGTGCGCTTTTTGATCGTAATGTCAGAGGACGTAAGAAAAAAGAGTTTTTCATACGTATTGAGAAAGTCCTCTTTTTGACACACCAAACTCAAAATATTCGTCTATGGTCATAATGCCTTAAAAATTATTAATCTCTGTCTTTAGCTACTCCCACTCGTTTGTACTAAAAAAAAAGAAAATGAAGAAATATTTATGTATGTACAAGATGTATTTGTGGAAGCGATAAATATGTTTAACTATTTTCTACTTACTGTTTCTAATGTAAGCAAATGTTTTGTTGACTTTGGTTTGTTTATTTTAACATATTTTGAGTATAAATATTTTTAAAAAAGTTAGAAAGACCATCATAGAGTTTAGGTAAATTCTAGATATTTGGGCGAGGTTTCAAAAAATGTTTCGCCTCTTTTTTACCCTCTCGTATTCTATTTTTTATTTGAAAAGTTTGCAACCATATTGATCTGTGACGTTTTTGTACCATGCGATTCGAGGTCTAAGAACTAAGAGCATGGCTTTTGGTATCAAAAACTTAGGACAGCCACTCATCAGAGTAAAACACTTATATGATAGACACTCATCAGAGTGACTATTATAAGGTTTTTTTTATTTTCATTCAGCTTTGGGTTAAAAGCGTTCTTGTTGTTTTGATGAATGCAGCTTGTTGGACCTTACTTTTTTGTCAATAACATTTCTAGTGCAGAATTGATTCTTCGTACCACTTCTTAGTTTGTAGGAATATTCATTTATATTCTGCTACATTCAATTATTGGTCTTTTTATTTCACCGATGAATACATCTGTCACAATTACATGTAATTTAATAGTTCTTCCGGGACCGCATCCTATTGGTTGTTTTTAGAAGCCCTGCTTCTTATAATGGCTGTCTCTCTAAATATAGTATCGAGAGTTAATTATATCCCAATTCTTCTAATTGCAAATTTTTTATTCTTTAAAACCAGCATTAAATGATACCCTTATACCGGGTGCGTCTTAAAAGTGGTTCACCCATATAACTTTTTTATTTTTTCAGATAAAAAAAACGAGATTTGGTATGTTAGAGCATATGACATAGTAAATTAGGATTGATTGACGTATTCAATTGTTTTCGGTCACTGTTTCACCGGAAATTACTACAACTTTTGATGTTTAAACGGCACCTTTGGTATTTTTTTACTTTAATCGATAGAAAATGACACTCTGAATAGAATGACATATTATACGTCAACTTTTGACACTCTCGCTTAAAAAAATCGTATTTTAAATTTCAATCTAGAGTACCATGGCTGTGTTAAAAACACTAATTTTTAATCAAGGAGCCTTGGAAAAATAGATTTGATCGTTTAATGTTTTTCGTGTCTTATCCTGACCGTTAAAAGATGCCCAAATCATATTTTCCATCATATCTCAATTTTTTCAAATGGAACGAAGGTGGCTCATTAGCATATATTTGGAAAAAGTATTTTTTACGAATAATTTGGTATTTCGAGTCAAATTTTTGTTAAATTTATGGCCATGGCACTCTAAATTGAAGAGTGGAAATACCAAAGGGGACAAGTGGCCAAATTTTTAAATATTAAGTTATTGCATTAGAAACGTAATAAATACCATGCTGCAAACGTAATAAATACCATGCTGCATGTCCTAACAAAAGTTAAAAGTACCAAGCCAAAGCGTCTATTTTTTATTTATTTTATAGGTATTTTTAAACTAATTATTTTTAAAATTGATTATTTTCAGTTCTAATGTGTTTTTCTCATTTATCTCGAAAAAATAATTTTGGCCACTTACCCCCTTTCGTATTTCCACTCTTCAACTAAAATTTAAAATGCATTTTTGTAATTGAAAACGTCAAAAGTTGACATATGCTATGTCATTCTATTTAGAATGTCATTTTTCTATGAAATGAAGTAAAAAAATACCAAGGGTGTCATTGAGAAATCAAAAGTTGTAGTCATTTCCGGTGATACAGGAAGTGACCGAAACTAATTGAATACGTCAATCGATCCTAATTTATGTCATATACTTACAAGTGGTGTTTAATGGCAACAGAAGTATAGTCTGCCCAATGGGAGGATTCTTGACAGTTTTAAAGATCTGACAGTTTTAACGATGATGTGTCTTTCATTTTAATTCAGAAGCAAATTGTATTTTCTGTCATTCTTTGGATGTCGTCTGTCGAACTCTTCCGTGAGTCGTTGGAAAGACTATACCTGATACTATAATGTAGAATTCCGCTCGCAATTTTTTTCAAAATAAATGTAGCCATCTGTAACATTTTATACACACTTTATCGTTTCAAATTAGTTTTTTACCATGTACAGGGTGGGTCAAATTCGACGCTTTTAAATGGAAACACCCTTTTCTATAGGAAATAAACAAAAACTAATATTGGTGTCTGGCGCTTAATTTTTGTCAAAAACATGATGGTGAAAACCGCATATCGATATCTCTTACCGTTTCGGAGTTACGGGATGTTTTTCAAAAATATGCATTTTTAACAAATCGCTGTAACTTTTTTGCTATGGAAAATTTTGTATTTTTATGAAAACATTTCCAAAGCACCTTTTTACATAGAATTTAATGGTTTAAGTATAATTTTTTTAAAATTAATAATTTAAGAATTATCAACCGAAAATTTGATTTATTATATGAGACACCCTATATATTTTTAATTTATTGAAAAGAATTTAAAATTACCATTCCAAAAATATAATACACTTGATATTTTGCTCGATTCCTCTTCGAAATATAGAGTATATAAAAATTCGCCCGTTTTAAATAAGTAGGCCTTGAGCGGCACCGGCTGTAATGCAAAAAAAATCTAGCTGTGAGAATCAATTAAAACGAAAATAATATTTGCTATGAGAGATGCAGAATTTTATAACAATTTAAAATAAATTTAACCAACATCAACACGACATTTAGACTATATCTAATAACAATAAAAATAAATAGGCAAACCAAGACATGAGATTTTGCTACAGGTGTTCGGCATATCGACCGTCCTGTGTAATGGACAGACGGGGCCGTTTTTGAACATTTCCCGAGGAATTCATTAACTCAGTAGGGGTGAAAGATACCCTCTCATAACTGCTAAGTATTTCTAATTCTTGTCTAGATTATACGGAAGAATAAGGAACCTTTATTCTTCCGCAAATATATCCGTAGGATTAGATCCATGAGCACTAAGTCAGGTGGCTTCGGCGGCCAACGGTTGGGATCAATAATTATTCAATTATTCTTGAAATTGGCTGCAAAAATTTGCTCATAACTTCAGCGTTCTGAGGTGGTGCGTCGCCTTGCTGGAAAATATGTTTTCAAGTTCCATTAAGGGCATATCATCAATAAGGAGTCCAAAGCCTACTAGTTAAAAGTGGCGAACTTTTAAATATTCTGTATTTCGAAGGGGATTATAACGAAATATCAAGTGTGCTATATTTTTGGAAAGGTAATTTTAAATTCTTTTCAGTTAATTAAAATTATAGAGGGTGTCCCAAATAAAAAATCAATTTTTCTGTTGATAACTCTTAAATTATTAAGTTTCAAAATATTATACTTAAGCCATTAAATTCTACGTAAACAGGTGATTTTTTGAAATGTTTTCATAGAAATACAAAATTTTCCATAGCAAAAAAGTTACAGCGAAAAACACCCCGTAACTCCGAAACGGTAACAGATATTGATGTGCGGTTTTCACCATCATGTTTTTGATGAATATTGAGCTCCAGACACCGATATTAGTTTTCGTCTATCTCCTATAGAAAAGGGTGTTTCCATTTAAAAGCGTCGAATTTGACCCACCCTGTACAGTTGTTATTAACAAAAAGATAAGACAATTGCTTTTCAATATTTTACATTTTCAGGATGTCGTCATCTCAACTTCAAATCTACTTCAAGAGCAACACATTTATACCACAACAACGAAATGAACTGTATGGCACATTCGACTTTCTAGCAAACGTTGGAGGCTTGTTAGGATTGTTCATTGGATTCTCTATTTTATCTATGATCGAGTTAATATATTTTCTGACTTTAAGAATAATCTATAATCTGAAGTTGTACCAAACATGGTATGGGAAACCGAATACCTCAAATATAACATGCATTTCTAGTATAAAATCGCAAGGTGACAAAGGATCTAATTAAAAAAAAATGCTGCTTAATATTCCTAGCATTAATATTGCAATGCATGTGTTATCGTTAAATGTGTTTCATTAGTAAATATATTGTATAATTGTTATATTAGTATGTATATGTAATATCACAGTAATAAAGTCTAACCAAACACCAAAGTATTTACTTTATTTTTAATGCATATCTATATATCAATTAAAATGATAGTAACAACACACTGCATAAAACTAGATGGTGTGGTTATTGAAATCTAGAGCAAATATGGCACTTATGACAATTCTGTTTTTCACTTACTATCTACAACTCAGAATAATATGCACTTGTATACAATACACTTGTGTTATAGTTATATAAATCTACTAATTGCTTTTTTTCAATAAAGTTATCATAAATCAAGCATGTGTACTATCAGTCGAACAAAAGAATACAAACTTCCACTAGCCATAGCCTTAATAGACTTTGAGAGGGCTTTCGACTCGATATATCCTAAGGCAATAAAAGAAGCCCTAGCGAAACAAGGTATTGACAAGTCTTATATAGAAATTATCCCCATTATATACAAAAAAACCAAAGTAAGAGTAATGATATAACCCCAGAGATCCCATCTGGCAAATAAGTACGACATCGACAGGGAGACGCGATACTCCTAAAGCTGTTTACAGCAACATTAGAAGAAATCTTCCGTCAACTGGAGTGGACCTCTTTACATTTGCCTATAAGCCTGAGAAGCTCCTGATTTGTTATTCTATCTACCCAGGATATATCCTGGATAGATACGACGTTACAAATACATCTCGAAAGTGTTCTCCATTATTTGATTGAGTACACAACTTTCAATTTTCGAACTTCAACACCACACTCGCAAGGTACCTGGAAGATGCACTCTTTCTATGGTTTTGATAATTCCGGTTTTGTTTTTGTTAGGACACTTCTTAGAGTAATCCCAGCCTTAAAAACAGGTTTAATTTTATACTGCTTGGCTATTCGCCCGATCTTCTCCGATGTTCCATTCACATATGGAATCGTTAAGAAAGAGAGAGCATCCACCTCAGGCTTGATGACGCACCAGTGAGTCAGGCTTGCAATTGGATATAATATTGTCGAGGGAATAATCATTCTGAAGTAAATCGGTTTTAATATTACCTAATTCAGAACTCAGAGATTTTTGGTCACTGTATAAGTATAGTGATTGGTCGATGACATAATGTTTTAACTGTACCTCTTTTGCTTGGTTCAGAAAGGTTGGAATGAGTGTGGGTTTTCTATATACAGCAGTGCTAATAGATCCATCGCTTCTACTGACAAGAACTTCCAGAAACGGTAGACAGAAGAAGTTGTTGTACATTATTTGAATCATAAAACTCTAATATAGGGCATATGAGAAAAAAATAAAGGTGTTGATGGTGGTCAAAAGACAAAACGTCGGATGACTAATCTGAAAACAGAGTTGTGTAGCTGGAAAAAGCGGCAATCAAATTATGATTTTAGTTTTCGGTTAGGATACCTTGTCAAATAAGGTCAGAAATAAATAAAATGAAAAACTTGGTTTCGGTTTCATTCGAATATCTAAAAATCGGGTTTTCTCGAATAACTATTAGCTGTGCTATTAGGGATTTTTAAACGGCATATTATTAGGCACATTAATGTCAAACTTTACTCTAATTTAACCATCCTCGTAATCTCCTATAGGCTTGGTGCATTCTCTGCCGGTGCTGCCACCATTGGAGAAAATCGTAAACAATACCAAATGTATTATATAATTATTCTAAAAGTGTTAAGAAGTGTAATTTGTGAAAGTTCTAAAAATAAAAAAGTAAATATTTTGATATCTTCGGAAGGTCTAACTTGTATTAAAATTTATTATTTAAGCTAATAAAACTTTTTAAATGAGTTCAATTACCGTAGTAGCATAGTTTTACGCACCGATTTTGCCAGCGTAGAAATAACTATAATTAGCTGTTCATAAAAAAATTAAGCACTAGTTGATTAAAACAAGTATACCATTAATATTGTAAATTATAATTTATCCTCTCATAGTATAAGCCTATTCTATATTTAATTTTTTGATTATGTGGGCACTTTGTTTACCTTGTTTCCACTTGTTTTGTCGAGCTGCCTGAATCCATTTTTGCTTTTGATCAAATCGATGTGAAAAGTTGTGAAGCTATAAAATGTTGTTTCGGGAGAGTTGAATATCCTGGAAAGTTGAGTTATTGAATGTTATTGCACCCAACAACCACGTACCGGGTGGCCAATTAAGAATGGACGCCGGCTGTATCTCAGAAACTACTTATCGTAAAACTCTGGGAAAAAAATTCTAATAAGTAAATCGCTGGAAATTATTTTCAAGTTCGAAAAATGCCCGCTAGGGGGCGTTTCTCTAATAGCCAATCAGAAAACAGGGTTTTTCTCAAAAATATGCAGGTGGACAGGTATTTTAAATATTACCATTATAATCATCGAGAAATTTGTAATTTTTTTGATATAGAGTATTTTGCTCTATCTCATAAAATAAAGTGGTGGGGGAAGGTTAAATTTGTTTTTATTAAAATAAGGATAACTCTGGTTTAGGTTAAGCGATTTAAACAAACTAGGGCTCGTTTAAAAGAGCTTCTCTTCCTTAATGATCTCCAGGATAAATATTGTTTCCACAATTTTTTTCATTGTAGCTAGAGGGCGCTGTTTGACATCATAACAAATATTGCGCTTTTGCGTAAAAAAATTCAATAGGAGGCTATATTTCTCTTTGCAAAGTTAAATAGAGCAAAAAAAAATCGAAAATATCAGCGCAAACCGCAACTTTCTATCTTTTCTCTAACCGGAGTTATTAAGAGAACAAATCATGTTAGGCTGCCGCTTAGGATTATATGATTTAAAAATTATACTAGTAGGCTAGGAAACAAAAAGAGATAAATTGGTTACGTCAAAATATCAAAACATATATTTTAATTTTATTATAATACTATTTAATTATTATTTATCCATTTTCGTTCTTGATTCGACCCCATAAATTAAAACCCAGGCATATTGTATCCGATGACCGAGCTGGCCATGGAAATATGCCGCTCCAGCGTATCTATCTACTAAAGTAAGTGGTATCCAAGAAGTTCCACAGATTCATAGCAAAATAGGCGGTACCACTGCCTCAACTATACCAACTGTATTCATGCTGATGAAATTGCAACAAATGCAATTTCATCATGATGGATTCTCTAACAAAATTGGCAATTCATTTCTTAGAAATTATGGATAGTTCATTTCATTCAGATAATTAAAAAAGTCTAAATTATTCGCCATCCTAGAATTCCTGCGTAAAAATTTACCGACCAACGGTCTTGGTGCTAAACTACTTGCATCAAGGGTAGATTTGGACCAGTAGTGCATAATATTGTTAAGATTCGCACCTTCGTTCGGTGCTATATGAAAAGTGCCCAAACGACATAACCTCTATAATAAAATAATAAATAACACAAACAATAGGTAAAACACGAAAACAAATGAAATCAAGGACGAACTTGGATTAATAACTAAATGACGTTACATCAAATAAACCCCTAGTTTTCGACAATACGTAATTTAGCCGTTTTCTGTTAAAAGCAGTATGGCGGCAATAGAAATTTTAATAAAATTATTGATTGTCCTTTTTCGGACTTCAGAGTTTTGGACATCTTAATCTGAGAGCTACTTACCTATAATTAACCAAGAAATTCGTAAAAATGATATGGATGGATGATAATGTTAAAGAAACACGTTTAAATAATTATGACGTCATTTTTTTTTAAAAAAACGCCCGAAATTCGGATGCACGAAAACTGAACTTAAACATTTTGACATTTTGACGTAACCAGTTTACCTCTTTTTGTTTCCTAGCCTACTACTATAATTTTTTGACCATATAATCCTAAGTGGCAGCCTAACATGATTTGTTCTCTTAATATCTCCGGTTAGAGAAAAGATAGAAAGTTGCAGTTTGCGCTGATATTTTCGATTTTTTTTTGCTCTATTTAACTGTGCAAAGAGAAATATAGCCTCCTATTGAATTTTTTTACGCAAAAGCGCAATATCTGTTATGATGTCAAACAGCGCCCTCTAGCTACAACGAAAAAAATTGTGGAAACAATATTTATACTGGAGATCATTAAGGAAGAAAAGCTCTTTTAAACGAGCCCTAGTTTGTTTAAATCGCATAACCTAAACCAGAGTTATCCTTATTTTAATAAAAACAGATTTAACCTTCAACCACCACTTTATTTTATGAGATAGAGCAAAATACTCTATATCAAGAAAATTACAAATTTCTGGATGATTACAACAGTAATATTTAAAATCCCAGTCCACCTGCATATTTTTGTGAAAAAAGCTGTTTTCTGATTGGCTATTAGAGAAACGCCCTCTAGCGGGCATTTTTCGAACTTGAAAATAATTTCCAGCGATTTCTCTTGGTCGATTTACTTATTAGAATTTGTTTTCCAAAGTTCTACGATAAGTGAAGCGCCTAGATGCAAAATCAGATATATCCGTCATAACTGAAATTGAGAAAACCGCAAAAATCTGTCGTTTTCGCAATTTTCAATTTTTCCCTGAATTGTTTGTATCAGGGGTTAGAATATGATTTTTGTTGATATTTTCTTGAAAATCGTAGAATTATATTGAAGTTTAGAGATTTTAACTCGATAAACAAAATGACTATATCTGATTTTGAAATTGAGAACATAAAATATCTGATTTTGAATTTTGCTTCGCAACCTATCTCGCTTATTTTTCGATGGACGTCTTCTCTTAGGAACCCTTATGGTGCAGTGTTTGATGATATATGCATCTTGATCCTTCTTGATGCGAGACTTGTAAAATTTTGCATGAAATTTGAGTTACGTCAAAATTAGATAACTGAAAGCATTTAAAGCTCTTTGTATCATGTTGGTACACGGAATAACTCGGTGGTTTTTTAGCTAAATATCTAAAATACACGCTATTTTCAACTTAAAAACTTTACGCGAGAGAAGAAACGTTTACCTTTTCTCCAATGCAGCACTTCTTTTCCATATTTTTTCATTTTTAACTTTCTTTCGAGCTAAATAAGGGGTTCTTTCTGTCGGGGCAGTCATATTCCTAATTATAATAAAACAAACACACTAAAAACACTTTGAATATTGAACGACAAAGTCTTCTCACCACACTGTTTACAATAAAACTAATAATACAGAGTTAGCCAGCAACGGCGTAACCGTACCACGGATATAATTGATTTTGGTTATTATATAATATTCTGCATGGATCGTATGGATAATATCTGATTTTGTACGTTGCTGGATATATCTGCATTTGCGTGTATTATATCATTGTATATATCTTGCTTTGAACTTCAGAGAAATATTTATCCAAGATTTGGTATGCGAAATAACTTATTTTGAATGTTGGTTATGCTTCTAATCGATGCATTTTTATGAAAATAAAAATATCCATACATTTACAGCAAAAATCAGAAAATTGGAAATATCTGGTTTTGCATCTAGGCGCCTCAAGTAGTTTCTGAGATACAGCCGGCGCCGCCCCTTTACTTGTTAACATTTTTTCGACAATTTTATTAACATTTGAAATAGTCACAATACAAAGCGACGCGACGCCCAGTTCGGGTTATTTTTCACTTAATTTTTACTACCCGAAACGTTACATCACACAAACCTCGTACCTGAGTGTTTTATAGTTTCAAACACTGCACTATTTAAAACTAAAATACTTATATATTATGACAAAGCCACAATTTTAATATTATTTTATTGCTATCAACATCGAAACTGCGTGAAATACAGAGCGAAAACTTCTGATTTCTGCCGATCGAGCGCTGTGGTCGAAACTTTTAAAATCAACTAAAACGCACCAACCCGCTATACTCGCTATTTAAACCTGTGTATTTGTATATATCGATTGTTTACGATATTCTCCGATGGTGGCAGCACCGGCGGAGAATGCACCAAGCCTATACGATTCCAGTGGTGGAAGACGAACTTGAAACTTGAATTACCCTGAATAACTATCAGTAGGTACCAATTTTAAATAAAAATTACAATGATGGCTTAACTCTTATTATATTTAAATTTGTACTCTGTGGTAATGGAAATAAATAAAAATGAAAATAAGCAAAGATCGTGCATCTCCTACGTGAGGTGCTAAAATGTCGTGTATTGTGTCGGCTAGAAGTCGCATTTCGTGTCATTGGTCTATAAATCGAATTGTAACGTCATTTCAATGTCGACGTCTTTATGTACGCTATAAATAGACGCTTCTCGTGCTTTTTCACTTAGTCTGCTTTTAATTTGAATATAGAAAACTAAATACCTATTAATAAGTTTTAGTGGAAATACGTCACTTCTTTTATAACTTCAGTACAACTAGTTATTATTATAGCCACATCCTAATATCATAAAGCATTAATATTATTTTAATGTGTATTATTATCTAGATTGCTAAATCTATTTTCCATCTATGCAACAATTTAAAGATTATTTATTTAAAGTATTATGGAGAACCCCGTTTTTCTAAGTCAAAAGTATTCCGCCTTTCATATGGGGCCAGAATCCTTGAATGTATTCTTCAGAATTGATGATATATGCCATCAGGGCCGGCGGAAGTGCCGGGCGACCCGGGCGGCTGCAAGGGGCGCCACGACAGCAACTAAAATATTTAAAAAATATTTGTTCGTGGTATTTTATTTATAACACAAAAGATACAAACTTTTTGTAAATAACCCTTCCCCCCTTTCTATAATTCTTGTGTTTATAAATTTTCTCTAAACAAACTGTTTTGTGTTGGCAGTTTAAAACTGACAACTTACTGCTCAAAATCGCACTTTGTCTACTATTCACACCCTTTATTTGTTATTAATAACTGATATACCCTAAAAATTACCCTAAAAATTACCCTAAAAAAGAAGCTGAAGAGGATCCCGATATCCTTATTATCAAAAAAAAAACAAACTTATAAGTGCCTCATTCATTTAATTAATTTATTAACAGTAACAGTTTTTGGAAAACTGAAAATATATCAATCTTTTGGTGATTTTGATTGTTCCGGATTGAATATGTAGTAATATACGAAAAATGGTAGCAGAATCGTAAAATTTTCTCATTAGAGCAAAACAAAGGAATCCCAGTGAGCAAAGTTTTGTCATATTTAGAGAACATTAGGAAACAGTTACTTATCTGCGTGTTATTGCTTCATATAAGGCAAAAGAAGGGCCTGGTAACGTAACAACGACGTTACCTAGAACACATTTCTCTTTTAAAGGAATAAAATGCTCACTGGGATGCATCTCAAACACTGGCTGATCACACTCACCGACAAAACTGTATCTGATCATATACTGATTCTGCACGAAATAATTGATCAAAAGTGGCTCACCCCTAGGTATAACTTGGTTATTTTTTCAGATGAAAAAACGAGATTTGGTATGTTAGTATACGCCATAAATTAGGATTAAATTGACGTATTCAATTGTTTTTGGTCACTTTCTGGTTTACCGGAAATTGCTACAACTTTTGATTTTTATCTGGCATTCTCGGTACATTTCTACTACGATAGAAAATAACACTCTGAATAGGAATAGAATGACATATCATATGTCAATTTTTGACAATTTCGCATATAGTTTATTTGATATTACAACATGCGGTTCATAACGACAATTTGACTCGAAATACCAAGTGTGTGGTACAGAATTATTCGTAAAAAATGTTTTTTTCTAAAAATGCTAATGAGCCACCCTTCTTTCATTTGAAAAAATTGACATATGATTAAAAATACGATTTGGAGATCTATTAACCGGCCAGGACAAGACACGAAAAACATTAGACGATCAAATCTATTTTTCCAAGGCTCCTTGTTTACAAATTAGTGGTTTTAACACAGCCATAGCACCCGAGTTTTAACACAGCCATAGCACCCGAGCCATAGCACCTTGAAATTTAAAATACGATTTGAAATATGATATGTCATTCTACTGAGAAACATTCATTTTCTATCGTAGTAGAAATATACCGAGGATGCCATTTGAAAATCAAAAGTTGTAGTCATTTCCGGTAAAACAGAAAAATATGCTTAGTTGTAGTTAAAGTATAGTACTGAAGAAAAGAGAGAATTATAATAACTATGTGAGGGGGGGGGGCGCCAGATAGTATATTCGCCCGGTCTCAATATTTCTCTTCCGCCGGCCCTGTATGCCATCAGCGGCCGTCCTCAATTTTAGGGCGTCGTGGTATCACGTAGGTAAAATTTATTTTACTGGCTTCAAAGTCAGCACAAGAATTGACTGTGAAAAGTAATGTACAGGGTGTTGACAATTTTTTTTATTATAGCAGGCATATTTAAATATCTCAAAAGCTAAAGCTTTTAAGCATATTAAACCCTTATAAGAAATTTCTTATTTTATTTTCAAGAATCCAAAAATGAAATAAAATACCGGGTGTTCCATAAGAAAAAATATAACTTTGGAATATGGATCTTAGTTCTGACACACCCTGTACATTTCAAAATAATTTTAAATTATGCATATTACCTTTCTACATATAACCATAAAATATTTTGTTTCTACATTTTTCCGTTTTCGTATAATCAACCGAGGCGAATGAGGTGCGCCACCGTGTATACATACATAATTATACCATATGATCGAATAAAAACGGCGTCCAGTTGGCTTGGAAATGAACATCGATGACATTCCCCATATAATTTTACATATAAAATGACAGCGACCTTCATTTCATAGCCATCGCTGACGCCGTTTTTTCTCGATCATACGGTACATATATCTTTCATAGTTTTTGAGTTAAAAAATAAAACATGTGTAAAATTGACAAAAACATGATTTTGAATAAGCATTAATTAAATCATGAATTCGGCACATGAATGTGCCGAACATTATCAGGTTTTTTCTTAATTATGGGTCGATTGGAATCAAACTCGGCACGTGGATAGAACCTTTATCCACGTGCCGAATTTGGTTCCAATCCTCTATCATAGAGGTACACGAAAGGAGTCCGGAAATCCCTATATAGTTCCTTCAATTCAATATACAGAGAGCAAAAAGGGGAAAACAAAAAAGGAGCATTTAAATCTGCTTCGACTTATTTTAAAAAATACAGAGTTTTGCATTTGAAATAACGAAATTTTTATGTAAAATAAATATTTAAAATAGACCAGCAATTTTTGATACCCCTGTATATATTTAAGAAAGCATTCAAATTTTTTAGTAAAGTTTATTTTTCTGGCTTAAAAAAACAGCACAAGAATTAATTTTGAAAAGTAATGTACAGGGTGTTGACAAACTTTTTTAATATAGCATGCATATTTAAATATCTTTAAATATCTCAAAAACCAAAGCTTTTAAACATATTAAACCCTTATTTATGTCCTAGAATACAAAATTGATATAAAATACCGGGTGTTCCATAAGAAAAAATATAACTTTGGTATGAATCTTAGTACTGATACACCTCGTACATTTAAAAATAATTTTAAATTATATATACATATATATACACATATAAATTATATATAAATTATATATACACATACATATATACATATTATATACATATTGTCCTCCCACATTCATCCATAAAACATTTTGTCTCTACATCTTTCCGTTTTTGTATAATTAACCGAAGCGAATGAAGTGCGCCACGCCTGTATATGATTCTTCGAACACTAAAATACAAGATAAAAAAATAATTAGATGACTTTGAACAAAAATAATTCACTTAAGCTTAAGATGATCAAAGTTCAAACTGACAAATCTAAATAAGTTGGAATGGAGCTCTTAAATTTTATCTATAAGCAAAAGAGCAGAAAATACCGTATCGCTTGTCCATATGTCCATACACTAAAGACAAAAAAATCTGGAACCAACAGCAATAAAGCTTACCACCCGCTATCTGCTTAATCGTCCGAGTGCTTCGACTCAGGCATTGAAAATAAACAGAAGTTGACTTTCGATAGTTTAGTCACTTGAGAGCGTCCGCAATGGTAAGTTCGGGCGCGTTCTTTTCACTACGTGCATAACACGTGCGCCGCCTTCTCCAAACACAGAAATGTCATACCGGACGTCGAAGAATACGGGCGCTCGAATGAGGCATCGCGACGCGACATATTGCGTGACGGACGAATTATCCGAATGCGAACAATGTGATACGATGATGTGTCTTAGCGCATACAAACCAATTTTTCACATTTTATTTATATATCTACTTGTTTTGGGGAACACAAATGTCGTTGCACAAGGTAAGTTTCACATTGTAATTACGGTTTAGAACCGGGAAATCCCCGGTTCTTTTGAGACATCTAAAAACCGGGACTCGAAATTATTAATTCCCGGTATAATTCTCGGTACTTTCGGGGGCTCAAGTTGCGTTTAGCCGAAATCAGTTACATAGAATATCGGTTTATAGGATGATTCTATACAAGAAAACTAGCACTATAATACATAATTTGATTTTTACCGCGAAAATTCTTTGTTTTTGAGAAAACTCGAATTTTTAGTTTTTCTATTATTAACTAAAATTTAAAACTTTACGGTGTTTTTAATAGTTTTTTTCATTATAGAATGACGTAAAAATATTTAATATAACGATGTGAAGTAATTTTTATTCGAAAATATATTTTTATCACAATAATTTTCATTGATTTTTCCAGGTTTAGAAGTGCCGAAAAGTGATAGGAAGATAAAAACTACATATTTTTGTTTGATTAATAATTTGCTATAATTTTCCTATATAACTATTTCCGCGGAAATTTATCATAAGGGCGGTGTAATGGAAAATCTTCAATATTTCGAAGTTTTCCATAGTATTCTCAACTTTTTTGCATACTTTCGGTTTGGTTTTAATTGGTTTGGTTTGGTTTCGTTTGGTTGTTTTTATTGGGTTTGGTTGTAGTGGGTTTAGTTGGTTTGGTTTGATTTGGTTGTTTTTTTAGGGTTTGGTTTGGTTTAGTTGTCGTTTTTATGCTTTATTGACAATTGTTTTTTTAATTTTCGCATTTATTTACAATAGCGATATTAAGTTGATAAGAATAGATATTATTCATTGATCTGTGTCAAAGGCCGGGAAGATCACTGCATAGTGGTGAAACAAGGCATTTCGGCGGATTTTCATTTTTGTATCGGTGCTTAAATATAAGTCTACAATATAAAATAATATTAATTTTTAATTTAATGCATCTTCCTCATTATTGAAGTTTAAATATGTTATTTTATTATTTAGTATAATATTGCTAAATGTATTAGTTATATTTTTTGGTGTAATGTTTTTATAGGCATTTGCATCTTTAATTGAAAATGTTTTTTTCTAATTTAGTTAAGTTGGTTTCGAGGTTGGTTGATGTTGTTTGATCTAATTTTTAAGCTACCTATGTGTTTTCTTTTTTATTTCGCTTGTGTTCATTATTTGTGTTCATGTTTACTTTCTCGTGACTAAAGAATTTGATATTATTTTCATTTGAAACTCAATTTTTTATCGGTTTGACTTTTGAGAACCATCCCTCGCTTGCTAATTGATGAACTCCACAATCGTTGACATACCATAATGACATACACCTCCAAACTCTTCTAAATAAGTAATTTCTTATTGTTCTTGCTTTTTTTCTCTCTTGAAGTTGAGAATATTTGTGGGCTTTTGGCTCAAATTCAGTTAAGTTGGTTTATGTTGTTTAATGTGAAATTTAAGTTACCTATACTTTTTCCTTTACTTGGGTTCATGTTAATTTTTTTCATGACTGATTACTTAATAATTTAATATTATTTTCATTAAAAATCTAAAAATTGACGAACAACCGTTGAAAGAGAATATTTTAGGTACGGTTCTGGAAACTTTAATTAATACTGACATTTAGGGTTCAGATCTTTTTGGCCATCACAGAATCGGGCCTCAGTAACAATAATTAAAAAAATATTTTTCTGCTACGTGAGAAAGTCCTTTGTCCTTTGACACTTTCTAACGATCGAAATCAAACTCTTCTAAATAAGTAATGATGCTATTTCTTATTGTTCTTGCTTCTTTTCTCTTTTGAAGTTCCTATAATATTTATTATGTTATGTTTTAATAGATCTACGCGTTTTTAATTCAATATTTTAGGGCTTTTCTCTCAAATTCAGTTAAGTTGGTTTATGTTGTTTGATGTGAAATTTAAGTTACTTATACTTTTTTCTTTTCTTGTGTTTTACAGGTTAATTTTTTCATGGCTGATTACTTGATAATTTGATATTATTTTCATTAAGAAACTCAATTTTTTATACATTTTACATTGAAAAACCATCCCTTGGTTTCTGATTGATGACCTGTACCCCTATTGAACAAAAATTAGTCAGTACCGCAAGTACCGGAAAAAAACGGGAAATCCGGTAACTCTAATTGTAATAGGGTGAATTGGCCAGTAGTCGGACAGTTTAGGAAAAACGAAAGATATTTAAACTCAAGAGATATAATTGTTTACCTTTTTCCTTCATCGGCCATTATTCTATCCTTATTTTCGTATCTCTCTTACACCGAAAACATTTGCCAGATTTACCTGTATATTGGTTTGGAGTTATTAGTATTTATTAGTATTCGATTAAATACCACAACCAATTATTAAGTAATAAATAATTTCGTTATATTTCTATATTATATCAAGTACATTAATTTGCTAACGTCAATTTTTTCATTTAATGCTTAACTGCTTAACTATTTTAAATTTTATAATGGAATAAAAATATCATGATCGTGTTTCTTTTAATAATAAAAAGCAGTTTGGCAACGTTAGTTTTAGAAATATGCCGGCGTAGTACAACGGATTTCGTAGATGAATGAAAATTCCTAGATTCTCCTGTTGCGATGTTGCTATGCCGCCGATCAAACTCCGTATTCTTTATTTGCAGTATTATAGTATTTTTGCGTTATTTTGTGGACTTCTGTGGACATTAATTTGAAAATATGGTGCATTCATGTATTGTGTACAAGAGAGTGTATCATTTAAATCCAAATTTAACTTTTCACCGGTAAATAAAAATAAGTAGGGTTAGGTATATTATTATATCCTCTTCTCTGTAGATCAGAGGCGGACCTAGACATAAAAAATAGCAGATTTCCAAATTATATTTATTTTTAGGTTTATTTTTTAAATTGTATATTTATTAATTTATTATTATTTTAAAATTATATATTTATTAATTAAATTATTTGTAGAAAAAAGGTACATGTGTGGTCCGTACTAATTACTAATAACTTAATAACAATTTCTGTTTCCCTTTTAAGAGAGGGAATTGAATAAGTATAATCTAGGTACCCACTTGGGTTTGACAAATCATTACCTACCTTTTGTGAAAATTTTATTGGGGTGTACCAAAAATGGAATTTTGCGGCCTTACTTTTTTGTTGCCGTTACAATTTAATACGGCTTTTGTTTTAAATTTTGGTTGCTATAATGTAAATGTTTTGTTATCTTTTGACATACATATAATTAATGTACTAATTACATGAATTTTATGACTACTACATTTTGTTGTATTTTTACATTTTATTGTATTGAAATTCTTTGCACACGCACTTTTTATTATTTATAAACAATATGAATTTTCCTTTGCAAACCAGAGAAAAAAAACTATATATTTTTTAAGACTAAGGGAAGAACCGTTTACTAAATAATCGCCATTTTATTTTATTTATGATTTTCTAAAATTATCGCTAGACTTTTCTGATGACTGTATTATAATATCAAATAATTTTGTTTAGATTTGTAATAATTTCATTTAATGACATTCATTTATCGAATTTTAGCTACAGAGCAGACTCCCTATTTGTTCTCACTGTTTCACTACGTTGACCATGATCATTCGACTAGGCAAGTGCATTATTTTAAAATTCCTCAACACCGAACAGCTAACTTCCAAAAATCTTTCAGTTTCATAGCGCCACATTTGTGGAATAATATTTCTAATAACTTTAAATTTCAATCCTTTACAGATTATAAAAAACAAATTAAAAATAATTTACTAAATTCATAACAATAAATCATTTAAAAAATTATAATTTCTTTGACTGATTTTTGAGGTTCTTGTTCTTCTGATATGCCCGTCATTGGTTGCTGTTTCGGTTACACTGTTTCGTTATGCTTCTTTGCTTATCTCCGCCCATCCCTGATAAAATTATATTTTAACTTTTTTTAACTTATTTTATTTTTTTTAATTCTGTTTATTTTTATAATTTAATTTATTTCTATTTTGTTTTTGGGGTCACACCACTCTGGTACTTTGTGTCATTGTATCGGTTTTTTAATCCCTTTAGACACCTTAATTAACCTTTAGACAAACATTTTAGTAGTTTCATATAGGTATATAATAAATATACATATAATAATAAAGTTTTTATCAAAAATATGTGAAGTCTACAAATATTAGTTTTTGGTAAAATATTGTATTACTAGGTTAAAATAACTATTTTATTTTGTTATTGCTAATAGAGGGAGTCTCATTCACCGGAGATGAACAAGGTTTGGAACAAGATATTGAAACTGCATTTACTAATACACCCAAAATTTGATATTTTATTTAATAAAATAAAGTAAAAAACGCTTATTGTTTTTTTTAATCGTTATTCTTATGTGAAAAGCCATCTTATAATAAAAAAAATATGCCGGTTTTTATTTATTTCGCTATCTTCCCTCAACTTATTTTTTTCCTATTAATATCCTCCCTCAACTATTTACAATGCGACAAATATGTAAGTGTTATTATTATTTTTTTTTAATTTATTAAACAATTATTTTAATTTCCTTAAAATACTGTCGGTCGATCGGCACGCCACTGGAAAATTGACCTCAACCGTCTATTCTTTGTAAACAACTACATTGTTGCCGTTGCGCCGATACCCTATTCCCTTCTTTGTCCATTCTCTCTCGCACTCGTTGATTTTCGCAAACCAATGTGTGATGAAGGTTTAGAGCGTTTTATGAATGGATCGTTGTATCTCCCGAGTTTAAATATCTTTGGGAAAAACTGAGTTTAAATTGTTGATTAAATTTTCTTTATTGATGGCATGGAAATGAAATCTTATGAAATAGTGATAATAATAAGTGATAAAAGTGCTATTTTGTCAGTAGTCGGACAGTGCTTGTCAGTGTCCGGCCGGGTAGTGTAGTTACCATAAGTCGGACACTTTGTGATTGGCTGAAACTACAGAGTCTCGTATTTAATATATGTATAATTTTAATTTTAAAGCAAATTTAATCTTGAACTATATACCGTTTTT